GGGCCTGGGCTGAAGAACAGACTCGGGGGTAACTTTAGGTTAATTGATCTTAATTGATTAAAAGACAGTGCCCCAAACCTGCAGAACAGGAAAGCATGCTGGCACAGAGGCTGAGACTGGAACCAGAGCTACAGGGGAGCTGAAAAGGTAGGTAGGGAGAGGGGAAAATGGGACTAAGGGAAAGTGTGTGTGTTAAAGAGGGGCTCTGGGTGTGGGGAGCCAGAGGATGGCTCCGGGGCAGCTAGAGAAGTTGCAGGGAGTGGCATTTGGTGCTGGGAGCTGGAGAAAGGCTCCAGCTGATGGAGAAAACTGCAGGACAGCTAAGAGGAGCTGGGAAGCTGCAGGGGCAGGCGGAGGATTGCAGAAGGTGTGGGGGAAGCCTGAAAACAGGGAAACAGACAGCAGAAAAATCACAGGAAAAGCAGCAGGCGGCAGGGCAGCAGGAAAGCAGAGAAAGGCAGGAGAAAGTCACAGAAAAGGCAGTAGGAGCAGGGGAGGCTGAGAGGCAGCAGGGACAGCAGGAAAGGAAGGAGAGGCTGAGAGGTGGCAGAAAAGGGGAGATGGAATTGGGAGGAGATCGGGAAACTAGCAGAGAGGGTGGGGACTGGAGGTGAGAGAGAGAGAGAGAATGAGGCTGGAATTTAAGATAGGGAAGGAACTGGGATTCAGTAAAACATGACCCAACTCAGGGTTGCAAATGACAGTGGTTTTATTGAACAGGGGAGATGGTTACACAATGTCTTATTGGTTCCTCCACACACACACGCACACAATGGCAGCAGGGGGTAACAAGGCTTGGGGGCGGTGTCCAGAGGGGGGTCGCTGGCAGGGCCTCTGGGTGGATAGGTGGTGTGGCATGGTGCTGGTCCAGATGGAGAGGGCATCCCACTGGGTCTGTCTTCACTGCCCCTTTTTATAGGGGCAGACCTTGTGTGACCATAGTGACAGGAGGCATGCCCAGGCAAGGGTCAGCCCCCGGCGTACTGAGCATGTGTGCTCCATGAAGGGGTGTGCAATTTCGGGTGTCTGTAATGGTGAGAGTTGCTGGTTCTGCAGGGTCTTTCGTCTTTCAAATGCTGGTCTTGTCTCTGCTCCTGGGTGAGGTCCGTGGTTCCTGGGTGAATCAATGCAAGGTGATGGTCTAGTCATTACAGGCCATTCAGTAGAGGCCTGCTACCATTGTATTTCAGTCATTCCCAATCATTCTCATTCATCAAGGAACCAGTTTACATGGGAGGGGTACAATGATTCATATTGTTGCAACATGGGATGCCCAGGCAGAGGACACAAGGTAGAGGCTTGACATATAAAATGGAAACTTGATATGACTTTGGTTCACTTACAAACACAGGCCTAAACCATAAAATACCCATATGAAACAATAAAAATCAATACGAAAATGATAACACAATATACAACAGTAAAAATCAACACAAACCTAATAATTATACAATATAAAAAGGTGGTTATCCAAAACCAAAAGCTTGCTACCAAAATAAAAATGTTTAAAGCCTATTCTAAGTCTGAGCTCACTTATACTTATCTATAGGGAATAGAGAGGGACAGAAAAAGTCAGAAATGTTTGGGGAAGGGGAGGGAATGCATTTTAAAATAAATTTAAAAAAGAAAGAAAAACTGGGGGTTTTGCTACACTGTGTTGGTCTAAGGACATAGGCAGACAAGGTTCTTTGGGTAAATCTGATATATTTTATTAGACCAACACAAATAGTTGGAAAAAAATCTTTGCCAGCTTTTGCGTACAAATACCCTTCATCAGGCTGAGGAAGTGTCTGCAGTTGGTCCGTGCTCTTCCTGGATGGAAGAGTAAAAAATCCAGAAGCCAGCATGCATGTGAGAAAGCTAGTCAGTGAGAATGTTAATTAAGATAGTCAATGAGTAAGAGACAGGTGGGGAGGTGGGGAAGGGGGATGAATATAGCTGATACATGGTAGAGCGGTTACCTGGTGAGTCAGATGTTAGGCAGGTTATAATGTGTCATAAATCCAATGTCTATATTTAGCCCTTGATTTTTTGTATCCAGTGGGTTGATGAAGTGAAGTTCATAGAGTCATCTGTGAAAGGTGTTTTGTAAATTCCCTTTGAGGATTAGAACTGAGAGACTGGAGAGAGAGTGGGTTTCTTGTGAGAAATGTGCCCCCACAGGTAACTGGGTATTCTTGTCTTTGATAGATTTTCAGTGTGCATTCATTCTGGTACGCAACTGTTTGCTTTCTTCTACATATTTTCCATCAGGGCATTTGGTGCACTGGATGAGATATTACATTTCTGGAGGTGCAGCTGTAAGATGCAGGAATGGCGATGGTTCTGTTGTAGGATGTAGTTATTATGGGAGTGGTGGAGATGTGTTGGCAGGGTTTACATTTTTTGTCCTGGCCATTATAAACTTCGATTTAACTGTGGCCCGCCCACCTGTTTCTAGGCTAACAACCTGCCTTCTTGCCCACCACACCTTTTTGGAATTAATTAATAGATGTTAATAAGTGGGAGGCTGCCCATTTCCTGCCCCAATGCCAGGGAGCACTATCTGCAGCTCCATTCCTCCCCTACACCACAGCCCAAGCCTTGCAGATGGCATCCAGATGCTATCATCATCACCGGTCCCCACACTGGGCCCCAGAATCCTCCTAATTGAACCCCACCTGAATTGCTGTCCTCAGGTGGTCTCATCCACCTTCATACTAGGCAGCATAGCTCCTTGAACCGCTTCCTCTTTGGGTGTGATCCCCCCGGGACCTTTGGCTACTAGCCCTGGCCCACCTCCAGGCCAGTCGGAACCCCAGGCCCGCAGCTCTTGGGCGTTCCTCGTGGTGGGCCCCTGGCCCTTTGACCCTTCCTGCATTGACCAGCCAGGGGAGGTCCAGACAGCCCTGAGTCTATGGCCTTTTCTCTCTCTCTGGGGGTCCACCTTTCAGACCCTACAAAGGGGTAACCCACCCGGTGGTGGGTGCTAGGGGTTAAGGCACCCCAACCCACCTTTCCCCGGGGTGGTAACTGGCCTGGCATTTCCTGGGGGCTCCCACGTCACTGGGAGCCTCACCAGGACACCCTCTCCCGGCAGGGTGCAGTTTTAGGTCATACCCAGGACCAGGAGCCTCCTGACCATCCGCTACAGCTCCTCCCTTACCTCCAGATGATACCAGTAGCCCTCCAGCCAGGCGGTGTTGTTGTCTGGCCTCCAGCAGCAGAATTGCCCTGTTTATATGGGCAGCCCTTGGTTCAAAATGGCTACCCTCATTAAGCACCTGGCAGCTGCCAGCTCCAGGCCCTTAAAGTGGCAGGCACAACCAGTGCCCTGCAACAGCGAGTTTTACATTTCTTGCTATGGCATGGTCTGGATCCATTCGGTATGTTTTGGGCTTTAGGAGTTTCCTTCTGGTGAAGAGGTTAGTGAGGTTCAATGCTTGTTTAAAGTCTAGGATGGGTGGTTCTGAAAAGATCTCTTTAAGATCTCTTTCTTGCATGCATACTGATTTCTAGCTTTTTTACTATTCCATCCAGGAAGAGCACAGACCAACTGTGGATGCTTCCTCAGCCTGACGAAGGGTATTTGTACCCAAAAGCTTTCAAAGAATATTTTTTCCAACTATTTGATTTGGTCTAATAAAAATTATCAGATTTACCAAAGAACCTTGTCTGTCAGTAATTGAACAGACATCCTCCCCTATAAGGTGTCACAAACTGTGAATAGGTTTGGTTCTTCAAACATTCTTGGTCGGTTGGAGTGTAACAAGGGGCAGGGGCATCTGCTTCCTCACAACTTGTGCTGTCATAAAAATGTTTTTTGGCAGCACAAGGATTACATTTGTTTGTACCCTGAACAAGTTCTCTAACCATTGCTTTGCCCTGCTGTGGAGGAGCAATCACATGCTCCCCAGACTGAGGGGTCTCTGACCAGTCTAGGAGGGGACTGCCAAAACAAAAATTGTCTAGGAGCAGCTGCCAGAACTCATCCTCTCCCCCCACCCCACCCCCAAGCGGCTGCCAAGGTCCCCCCCTCCCCCACTGACACTGAGATTCCTCAGTGTGGGGAATGGGTGAGGGGATTTATCCCACTGCTCCGGGTGCCCAGGAGAGGGAGGAGTGGAGAAGGTGCTCTTCTGCATATCTTCCCCATACGAGGGGTCACCCTAGTTTGGGGATGGTGTGGAGAGCAGCAGAGAGGGAGCAGCTGCAAGCTGAAGAATAGCACTGTTTTCTCTCCCAGGAAGATTTCTAGTGGTGGAAATTTCAGATATTTCCACCATTAGAAATGAATGGTGGCTTGAGGCCTCTTTCACTGACACACTGTGTGCACATGGGCTTGTTATTTCATTTTTCTTGTGGAGATTTTCAGAGGCCTGAAAAGAATATTAACAGCCATCTCTGCCCATATATGTCACTGAAAATCTCCCACTTCATCTGGGTTTCTTCATCTGTAGAAAATGGGGATCACAATGCTTACCAAAGTTGAGTGATAATTGGAAATTTCCTTTCTTTTTGAAGGATGTTCCAATACTTTGTCCCTAAACTAGGACAAAAAGGTGAAATACAAATTTTTCACAGAAGGAAAAGTTCAATTTAATTACAATTCAGAATTGTCCAGCCATTTTATTTCAATACCTTTTTAATTGATATAGATAAAGTATTTTGACCTTACATGAAAATTATAACTAATAAGTAGCACCATGTCCAGCCACTAAAAGTAACAGACTATTCACATCTTGAAATATTTGTCTACCATAATAAATAGCGGCAGCAGTATCCACATTTGTAAGAATTGCCACTGGATTTTTTTATGTGTAATCCAAAAAAATGTATAATAATGCAGATAAGATGCATCAGAAGCAAATCCTCACTTCAATGAGTTCAAATTATATACTCATAAAATAGACATTGTTATGAAAAGAAACAATTTAATAGGGTTTATTCTGGCAACGGTGATTTTTCTAAAGTAGTTTCATCCGGATGTAAAACTGAACTTTTTTTTCATTTTTCCCTAGAAAATTGCCTTTATGGTAGCATTAGGCCTGGTTACTACAGAACACTTGGAAGGTAAGAATTTATTTGTTGTTTCAGTTAAAATTTTGTGTGGAATCTCTTCTCTATAATATTCTACAGCCACAGGAATCACTGAGAAATCTGCCTATAGAATGACTAACGGGTCAGGCAAAGTCTTATTAATGCTAGTCCATCCTTTTCATCCTAAAAATGATGGGTCAGATTATTTGGTTCTCTCCCTCTGCACCATTTCTGTGGCAAACTATAAGGTTGTACCTTGGCTGGGACCCTTGGAATAAGAGGTTGGCAGAGTAGCTGAGTGCCCTGCACTGGCAGTTCCCACCCGCTATCAATTAGAGAGGCTTAAAATCCACCAAGGTGGTGTGATCAGTGAATCTCAGAGGGGAGAATCAGTGAGAGCCTTGTGAGAGTTCCTATTCCTCTTCAGAGAGGTCCCCTTCTCTGCTGCACCAAAGCTCACACCTCATAAAATGTGAGCCAAAGTCCTTCTTTCCATTCGTTTGATCTATGTGCTCTCAGTCATTTCTGTAGTACCAGAGAACCAAATTTTAGTGTGAGTGAACTTTAGAATTTGGGTTATTGTGTTAGTTAAGTTAATACCAAAAAACAAACAAACAAACAACACCCCTGCCGAAAAAAAACTCCACTCAGACACATTGTTCTTACACCAGCATTTTTTAGATGAACTAATTTTTGTTGCAGAATTATGCAAAGAACTGTCCCCATACTTTCTTAGGTTCCTGTGTACACATTAAAACAAATATATTAATTAAATGTTGCAGCCACATACCATTGTCCTTTCTTTTGTAACCCTCCAAAAATACGCTGCAAGAATTAACAGATTTTCACCTTTTCTTTCTCTTGACATTTCCTTGTCAAACTGGTGATGGGGAAAATAGCTTGTTCTGCACATTTGCTGTAGGTGTGAAACAGATTTTTTTTTTCAGAAGCAGGAGGAGCAGATGTAAAATCCAAAGCCTGATACATGTAGTGGGATTTGGGCCAAATCTTAAGCAGGTGTACATTGGTATAGTTCCACTGAAGTCAGTGGAGCTATATCTCTTTACGCAAAATGACAGTCTGGCCTTCATTTTCAATAATTTTAATCTTAATAGCCTCTTAGTAAACTCCCATCCATGGCCTCCTATTAGCAAGATACTCGAGCTGCTACCTATCTTTACAGAGGAAAGGCAACAAGACCACTTAGGGACTTTAAAATCAGTTATGTTCTTAAACATTCTCCTGAGTCTGAGTGTATGTTACCTTTTCAAATTCTGATTTTTATAATCCTGACCTCACGTTCATTCCCAAGAAAGTAGCACTTTAATTACAATGTCATGCTAATATATACAGCATGTTTTTTTCCCTTCTGGTGTTTGTGGGTTATTTTATCAGGATGTTTCTCTTTCAGTGTGTATTTTAGAAAATCATTTAATGTCCCAATAACTGAAAACTTGAAAGCAATTAAAAAAAAGTTTAAGTCATCAGCCTTCCTAATTCCTTAATGGCAATGGATCAAAATAGAAATTAAGAAGTGGCAGCAATTTTGGGGAGACTCGTAATCTAAAATGTGCAAATGATGATTACAGGAGTCAGAGTTTATTCTTGTTCCATTTGTGTGAGGAAAAAAGGACAGGATTTGAAATTATGCTAAAGTACATCACTTATGATGGAAAGAGTATCATTTGAATATTTTATGCCCTCCCATTTTATTGAAACTAATATGTCATGCATATGGATTTGAAGTTGCTATGTTGCATGCATCAAGTAGCGCTCAGCTTCATTTGTTATACAGTAAATGCAAAGATTCTAAGCCTGCAAAATTGTTCCCTTCAGACAAATTCATTTCTTTGCTTTTGTACAAGCCTTAAATAAATGGCTATAGTATAGAACCATTTACTATGAAAATGGTATTTCTTTACAACTACTGGCAATTATAACTATCAGAAGTCCCTCACAGGTTTCACATTGTTGAGTTTCGTTATTTTAATGCTGTGTTATGTTTACTGATACTAGACATTGCTTTATTTTAGGAAGTGGAGTTCATTTTATAGTTCAGATGATTTTAAAATCATATATTTTGCTATTTTGCATTTTTGGAATTAAACCGTATCCCAATTGGATCTTTAAAAGCTTATTCATTCAATAGAATGAAACCACTGTATTATATTGCTTTTTTCATTTGTATTAATTTATTTTCTGGTAGAAGGCTCTGACCCAGTCCTGTATAAGTACATCCATTGGCCTAGCAACCTTTCCAGCTGTCTTTTAAGGGGATGTTTCCCTAC